GTTGGTAGAAAATATCAGTGATCTATACTTTTGCCCGTGTAACGTGTATCTTTTAAAAAATCTTTAGTATTATTCACACACCGTTTAGGCACCCGCAATGTGCCTCCCCTAGTACACAGTATTGGCCCACTGATCGTCCCCAGTGCTGTACGCACAGGGCCCCCCTTCCTCCCCGCCCCCCGTCTCCTCTGCTTCGCTCTTGGACTGGGCTGCTCCTTTGGGTTTTTTTGTTGTTTTATATGTTTTGTTATTAACGTGATTAAAGTTTCGCGCGAGCTGCGTCCGACAACATGGCGGCCCTAGTAGGACTCGGACCCGCAATCCCTTCATTAGTGGTCAGATGCCTTATCCATTAGAACTAAATTCAAAGGCTCAATAAAAAGAGAACTCAAAACATATGAAGGGTTCAAATCAAAGCATTTGAGACATTTGAATCGAATTATTTTAGCAAAAAATATTTGAATTAAATATACAGAAGTCAAGAATTGTCCCTCGGTCAAAAGCGAATAACAAATTACCTTTTTTAATGCGCCACCCATCCCGAACTTCTTTCTTCTTGCCTTACGAATTTCTCGATTAGCTGCTTTTTGTAAATTGCACACTTTTTCCTGAAAAATAACAAATTTAGTGCATAAATATAATAGAAAATTCAAAAAATAAAAATTGCCGTATTCCCCTCAAAATCCTTCTGTAAGGAGACTCAATGAATAAGTTTAATAAGGCATGTTAATGGGTCTTCCAGACCATTGGCGTGACTCCCAATATTCATAAAATGGAACCAAAAAAAAAAAAACAACTGCATTAATCTCATTTCAAAACAAACCTTCAGAACTGGCAGAACATCGGGATCGGTCTTAAACAGTGTCATAAAAACTCCACCGGGAGTACGGCGACGTGTTCCGTCGGCAACCATCATTCCACCGGTTACTTCAATTTCTCGTGTCTCATCAAATAGTTCCAATGCTTTTTCACGTCCAATCTCATGTATTACACTGTAATTATATTCCAGTAAACGATAAAACGTGTATGCGCGTAAACAAATTCCTACAAATTCCTATGATATTCCTATGAATGATTCATACAAATGATATCCCTATCATGATATTCCTATGATATTCGCATACTCATTCGCATATTCGCATACAAATGCATACATACAAATTCGCACAAATATAATGACATTCGCATACAAATGATATTCCTATAATTATTATAATCTTTAATCCTCTAGCTAGCAAAATACCCCGCGGTCTAGAGGTAAAAATCTTCAA